GAATTTGTGATATCAATAACGAGAAGCTTATATGAGCCACCATTGTCATCATATTCCTAAAAAAAGTCTTTCAAAATACCGAGGAAAGTCTCTTGTAGTCAATGCTTTCCTTATGAGTAAAGTCTTTAGAGACCATCGTGCCTTATATATCTCTTTTACTTCACCACATAGCATCAATCCACTCTTTAGAACTAGAACTGTGCATGACTAGACTAATATGAACCTGATCATTAGTCAACCTGACGTCATCCTTATGTTCAAAGAAGATACAACTGCTTTGTGGATATCCTAATTGATGACATTTCTTGAGTTTGTGCAGAAAAAACATTTCCATATGGTTCCTTCCCCCTAAAACTCAAAATACTCAAGAAATTTCTCATTTCTAAAAAAAAAAAACTTCTTGATGTGAGATTGTAAAACTTAGCCTCGAGAGTGCTTTTGAGTAGCCAACAAGGTATAAGTTAATTGTATCCTTTTGTCCATTATACCTTTTGTACCTTATAAGGTTTTCCTTATTTGGACATCTCTAAATGTGCAAGTACCTTATTGCACGTATTAGTTACATTAACTATTTTATGGATGCTCAATTTAAGGATGTACGTTGTAATCTTTATGACTTTTATCCAAATGGAGTATAGTAAGCATAAATGCACAATTATACTCCTCGCCATATCCCTGAGAGTTCAACGAACCACAACATCCTTAGCTCTCTATTTGTGCCTTTTACTGAGAATCTGAACAAGTGCAATCTTATCTCGTATCTTCCCTCCTTTTCTTTTGGGAGTATTAGTACTCACTTAAAATTTCACGGAGGAAGATAAATTAAACCAAGTGTTGAGCTTGTCTTTTGACAACTCTAACTTTAGTCACTTGATTTTAATGAGACATAAGACACCTCTAAAATATAATACGCTTGTACATTTTGCCTTTAAACTTTATGGATTAAATTGCCCCAATAGGTAACTTACCCCGGATCTTTTATGTTTGGCAAAATATTGTATTATTACTGCAATGAACCTTACAAATGTATGTCTCAGTAAAAGAGCCTCAAAATTATTCATCGAATACAACGCTTATATCATCAAGCACACTTAATTGGAGTAATTCCTACCTATTTAAATCTCATTGAGATTTTCCATAGTAGAGTAGGGACTATTCCACACAAAAGCGCAAGATTAAAGCCCATATCTCGAGAATAATTTTCTTGATTTTACTTTAAATTCTTTAATTCATCCCTTTTAGTAGAAGAGTTAACTTTAAATTTGGCATAAATATTTGAAATAAGGCATGAAAACTCTACAAAGATAAAAGAAAACACACATCATACCATGTAATAAAACAAGACAAGAACCTTATCCAATATTGGGAACCCATCATAAGATACCAAATGCAACATTAATTCTTAGTCTTTGGACAGAGAATTTAACTGCGAGCGGTACTCTTAATACAATGATCAAATACTGATAATAAGTTCCGTCAAACAACTGTCTATCTTTGGACCGACTGTTATTCACATGAACATTAACTTTATAATTATCACGTATTTATCATTAAGGTGTTTGATTACTTGGTCAGTTAGTGTCGTCCTTTGGGTCGATCACTACCCACATAAGTAACCTTACACGTACATCCAAGTATCCTAAGTTAAATAATTTTTCACAAGTAGAGGTTACTTTGGCAACATACTGCTAAGCGACAGTAGCTCAAAGTTAAATTATTAGTTCAACCGGAGAAAACTTTGATTCTACTATTTCTTTAAGCAATATGACATCCACACAATCGTTACAAGTATGGATACAATCTAATTATTCTTGTTTAGTACGTGCTATATGAATTTTAAATATGCTATACGAATTTTATATGTGTTTAGTACGGGAGCTATCAAATAAATAAATAAAAATAAAACAGGTTAACAATAAGATGGATACTGAAATTTTAAGCTGATAAAGAATGTACGTATTAAAAGGGGTGTTTATTGTAATAATGAGCTAATTCTAAAAGGGTACTGAAAAAATTGACTCAAATTTTGACCCAATCACAAAGGTTGGGTGCGTTCATCATTCTAAAAGACAAAAGTGAAGTGTGATATAACGGAAGTTTGGATCCGTTCCGTCACTTGCTCCCGATTTTGGTTAACAATTTAAATAATAATAGAAATAAATTTGTACCTAACCACAAGGAGCCACATGGGCTGGAAGCAGCTATGGGCAGCAACCCAGTTTGCTGCTAAGTTTCGCCCAAATTATAATATGAAAACGAGAAGGTCAGTTTTTATCGGCTTTAAGCTTGTCCGCCGGTTAATAATTATTATAATTTATATTGCATTCCTTACGGAATAAGGATGAGAATTTACCTCCACGGTGCATGTGAATTGTTTTGTTTTACGGATTATAGTGATTGTCTTTCGTACCGGATATTAACTCACTGTTATGTTGCTAATTATATTAATTTAGTGTTTATCGGTTACGGAGTCACGGTTATGGAGACATCTTTTCATGATGATGATTTCAATCATCATTATTATTATATGTTCCGTTACGGTATTAATGATTCGGAAAGTAAAGTTGGTTGTTATTTAAGGATAACAACCATTGTTGAGCACTTCATTAAGACGATGATAATAGTAAACTCTCATCATTTAGTTAATGCGTTCATGCATATTATGAGATGTGTTCTTCATTTACATGCATGGATTTTGCATTTGAGATATTAACGTGGTTGATTACTACTATTCTGAGTTATTACTTTGGCATGCAAAACTTGTGCATTGCCGGTTATGGTTGTTGTCTGTTATACCTTATTTTTTGTTATGATAAGGTTGCACCATGATTTTATGGGTCCATTAACAAATTTAACTAGAATGTCTCGACTAGCCATATGGATTCCAGTTTTTTCTAGTTTCCGCTGCGTAATGATGATTGGATCGTTAAAATACACTATACAGTTACTTTATGCATTTCATGTCTTGTAATTTGTTTGGTAAACAAGATAAGTTTATGAGGAATATATGATTCATTTCAGTAAACCAATGTTTGGGGCTCGGTTTGAAAATCTTAATCCTTATACGGTAAAGGTTTACATTTTAGTGCATGCAAATTATGTATTCACCGACCCAAAGGTAGGTGAATATTTGAGGTTTCATATGCGTGCACATAGTAATAAATATGTGATGATTATTTAGTTCGCATGTGAACGTTAATCGGCCCAAAGGTAGATTTACTATCACATGTTCTTATCATCAATATTTAATTACTCGATCATAAGACATTACTTACAAGTTAATATTTTGTCCAAGGACAAATATTAATGGAGTACATTGTGTCTTGGGATGGAGTAAACCTTTATTTAAATTATTATTTTAATTCTCTCTTAATGGTAACTAATCACTTATTAATATTTTGTGATTATGAGAGAATTGTCCAGTATTTTAATTAAATTAATTTTAGCAGTATGTTGCCAAAGTAACCTCTACTTGCGAAAATTATTTAACTTAGGATACTTGGATGTACGTGTAAGGTTACTTATGTGGGTAATGATCGACCCAAAGGACAACACTAACTGACCAAGTAATCAAACACCTTAATGATAAATATGTGATAATTATAAAGTTAATCCGTACGAAACTACTACCGGGGGTTGGATATTCATGTTTTCAAAATTTAGGGGACACCCCTAAAGTACCATGTATCCGCCACTCTGCCGACATGAACCAAATTAAAAAAAAAAATGATTGTTGGTCAACAAATATAATGTTGAATTAACGAAGAGAGGGCCAGATATGAACAGCTCTTTAATACCTTAACGGTATGGACAATTTCATGATTTCTTCCTTAAAAATGATCAATTTGAAGTTGGAGGCAAAACTGATTTTGGCAGTAGCGAGAGCAAGGTAGCTCAACCAGAAATTTGTTACTCGAGCATGTAGCCATGGTGTCAGGAACTGGTAGGAAAGAATCGATTGAAAGCGTGATAAGATCACTCTCCTTAGAGTGTTATTTGCCCCCACTACAAATTGTTGGTAGGCTCGAGCAAACCACCCTCAAGAGTCCCTTCAATTTTAAGTCTGGAAGCAGCAATCTTGCAGACTTCTGTGGTTATGAAATAGAAAAGGAAACGGGAATAAGAAGTAATCTCTCGTCATCAAAAGAGCTATGACAATCATCTATTTATAGTTGTGAAAACTAGAAGTTATCTCCCGAAGAGACACATCCTTTCACAGAAAAATGTAGTTACCTCTCCCGAAAGGACACATCCTTTCATAGAAAAGGGAAGTTACCTTTCTAGAAAGACACTTCTTTTCCCTTGTATTATCGATGTGGTACTTGGATTGTCCCATAACACTTTCAATTCTGTATATATTATCAAAATTCTACACTCTATGTTGTCTAGCTAGTGGAGGTTCTGGAGATCAATTGTCGTCATCATCTACTACTATTACTCTGTTATCGTAAACTGGTATCACCCCACAATTCTCTACCATGAATGGTCCTTTAACAACACCAAAACGGTCTCTGCGCGTGGCACGAAAGACGAATTTAATGGTAGCGTCATTCATAATTGAGATCTCCTTACCTTCAGATGAAGAATCCAGAGGTACTAAAACCTCCCTCATCCAGCTAAGCTCAGAATCATACCATATTAACAGGTCACTTCCCTGGTCATCTAAACCGTGGTCTTCCGGATACATTGAAACCCCCCGGCAATAACTCGCAGCTATAACATCCCCACCGCCAGTGTTGGACAAATTGTGACACTCTAACACTGAAATTAGCCCATGACTTACGGAAGTTGGTTTCGCGGACAACTTTGCTAGAAAATGAAGCACAATAGATTAGTCCCTTCAACTGCCAAAGGCGACCAAGTGTAGTTGTCACCACTGAATTAAGCCCAGAAGGCCTCCATCCATCAGGACTCTTCCAACCTCTTGGAAGTACGAGCTATGGACGAAGCCGAATCTTCGTCGGCATACCAAAGGCATCTTGGGCGAACTGCAAATGAATTTAATCATGATCATGATCATGATATGTGAGCCTCAAATAAAATTCAAAAAAGAGTAAATAGAGTACCTTCTTGAAAAGCATACTGCACACATCTGAATCCAGCTTTCCACAGTTTCCGAAATTGCATTCCATCTTCAGGAAGTTAAATTTCCTCAGGCCGCTAGTTGACATGGTTTGAAGTGCGGTGCAGCAATAGGCTTCCAACTTTGTCAAGGATGAAGGAAGCTCCGGTAAGTGACTGAGTTGACTGCAACCAGACAAGTCGAGCATAACCAATTTGGATAGCCTGTGAATGGTGGCTGGTAGTTCTCGGATTGCTGTACCGGGCAGAGTAAGAAATTCCAAATGTCCTAGATTACAAATGCTATCTGGAAGTCGTGATAGACTGGTGCACCCACCTAGAATTAATAGTGTTAAAGCTTCCATGGGTACCAAGATTTTTGGAAGTTCCTTCAACGTGATGCAATTAGATAAACAGATCTCCTCAAGAGCTTTCGACTGAAAAATTACATCTCGAAAATGAACAAGCTCTTGATCATTGGCCGAAATTTCGTTGCACCCCTTTAACTTCCTCAGCTCCTCCAACTTCTGGTTTTGAATTGATGTCCCACTTAGGTTCAATCTTTTTAGTTCCGGGAAAATGGCAGCCATATTGTCGTCCTTGTTGACATCTGTGTAATATCCCACTGCATTCAACTCCAAGCTGGTACACTTCTCTAAATTAAGGACTTCAAGTTTGGGTAGATGCACAATCGACCAACTAAGCTCCACCAAGCGGAAACAGAAACGAAGATTGATTTCTTCCAGTCTTTTCGCTGTAGAGAGATCAGGCAACTTCTTCAAGTATTTAAATCTGCTTAGATCAAGGAACTTCAAATTTCTCAAGTCCTGCATGTAGATAAGATAGACGTAAAAGCTGAAAAGCAAACAAAACTATAAAAAAAGGAGATATCTCACACTCAAACACAAAAAAGTTATACATACCATATTCCGTGTGTCGTCCCAAAGTTTTCTCACTTTGCTTGAAGGCAAAGACAATGATGTAAGATTCTCCGGACAAAATTCATGTGGTAAACATCTCATTGGAAATGCGTCCCATGTAAGAATTATCAATGAATTTGGTAGACATCTCAAACCGTCCTTGGGGAGAACAAATTTTGTCTCAGATTTACGTATCACAAGGTATCGAAGATTTTCCAACTTCACAAAAGCATCAGATTGCATGTGTATTGCCTCTGTCCTTAACTCACCACTGGATTTATCCCAACTAATGCCTCGAGTGACTTTACTGCCCTATTTAGTGGAAGAAACAACAAGGAAAAAATTACTTAATAACAAAGCACAAAAAGGAACAGAGGTTATGACGGTTATAGTGTTTACTATGTCCACATACCTTGCCTTGTTTAAAAAAACTATATACGTCTTGAGCTTCAAACAGCCATGAACGTCTATCAAGTCGGAAGTTTTCATTGACAATTCTACGACCCAAATCACTCAGCAGCCCATGCATTTTTACGATACGATGATCAGGAAAGACGAAGACAGTTGTTAACATAGACTTGTCAATAAAGTTAATTATAAGGTTTTCACTCCCACCATGTTCAACATAGTTTCCATCCAATAGTTTTTTCAACTCGTTGTCATTGAATTGGCATCGACCATAAAGACATGCAATATCAATGAATACATTTCTCTCTACTCGGCCGAGTCCTTCATAACTCCTCCGGAAGACTCTTTCTATCGCTTGATTTGGGTGACGCTCCAACGCTTTCAATTCGATACCCCAAAAATTTTGGTCCCTGTCATACAAATGTGAACCTAAAATAGTAAGAGCTAAGGGGTTACCCTGTGCATAAGTGATAGCTCTCTTGGACCACTCCACATACTCGATTGGAGGATGATGCTCTTTGAATGCACGGAGGCAGAATAGCCGAAGAGCTTCATTGTCACCAAGAGCCACCACTTCATGAACATGATGACACACATTCTTAAGAACTTGCTGGTTCCTACTTGTCAAAATGATTATACTTCCCGATGCAAATAAATCACAATATCGTCCTTTAAACAATTCGTTCAAGTGTCTCATGTTTCCAATATCATCACCCACATCATCAATGACAACCAAAACCCTCGTACGACCAAGCCGATGTTCTTTCAAATCCTGAGATATTCTCCATGCATTCTCATCACCCAACAATGCAGAGAACAAATCATTTTGCAAGTCATCACGCAACTGTGATGAACCACTTAACTTATCCGAGAAGTTACTCAAGAAATACGAAGCTTCGAATTGACTTGAGAACTTATCGTAGAAGGCCTTTGCAAGAGTCGTCTTCCCGATGCCACCCGGCCCCCACACTCCTATAGTCAAATTTTTACCCCCACTAGTTGCCCAGTGTTCAATCTTATTAATCCTTCTCTCTAATCCCACCAAACCAACAATCGAATTTGAAACTGGTACCATTTGACCGGATAGAGCTTGTAACACAGCTTTACAAATTTCCCCAATCAGGATTGATTCAGGTCTGAGAAAAGAAATAGCTATTTAGCAAAACGAAACAAGTAGTTCTATATCTATCGAATTGGAAAGATTAATACCTTATTTTGGCCCGAACTATACACATACTTTCTACTTTGGCCCGTGGTATCACTACAAAAAAAACCAACTATAGTGACATGTTTTTAAAGACAGTTTCAAAAAATGTCAGTAAAACCATTCACTTTGAAGGTTTTTGTGACATTTATGGTAAGTGTCAATATAATATATTTATTGTGACATTTAATTTTGACATATTCGATTGTCGTAGTAATAAATATGTTTTTCTGTCATTTAAAAAAGTGTCACTAAAAGAGTGTCAAAATAGAGAAGTATTTGTGACATAAGTTGGTAACATAACTAAATGTCACAGTAGTTTAGTTGTTTGTCTGACATTTAGAGAAATGTCACGAGTGAAATGTTAGTATACCATATATATTGTGACATTTAACGTTGACATTTTCCATTGTCACGGCAATTAACACGTTTTTCTGTCATTTAGAAAAGTGTCACTAAAAAAGTGTCAAAATATAGAAGTATTGCTGACATAAATTGGTCACGTAACCAAACGTCACAATAGCTTAGTTGCTTGTCTGACATTTAGAGAAGTGTCATGAGCAAAGTGTCAGTATAGCATATATATTGTGACATTTAATGTTGACATCTTCAATTGTCACAACAATAAACACGTTTTTCTGTCATTTAGAGAAGTGTCAACTAAAAAGTGTCAAAATAAAGAAGTATTTGTGATATAAGCTAGTCACATAACTAAATGTCACAATAGCTTAGTTGCTTGTCTGACATTTAGAGAAGTGTAGCTAGTGAAGTGTCAGCATAGCATATAGATTGTGACATGTAACGGTGACATATACAAGTGTTGCTTGTCTGACATTTAGAGAAATGTCACGAGCGAAGTATCATTATATAATTAATAAGGATGATATTGAAAAAAATTATACATATTCTTCTCGTTTAATTAATATCTTCTTTTCCATGGAAAAAAATCAAAATTATTGTAATGGTTTCACCCCCTATTCACGACAATCTAGGTTATTTGATTCGATTCAAATTGTTTGTTTGATTAGTTCACGGTCCACTCAAAATTTAATTGAATGGTACCCTATATAGTTTGACTCACTGTTGATCCTGTAAATTATCTTAAATATGAAAGAAATTTCTATCAAAATTGCATTTGAATCGGTCAAAAGCGAACTAATAAACTTGCTTCTTTGTGATTTGAACCCTCCATTTTTATTTACTTTTGGTTCGATCACATATTCTAATTTTTTCTCTTTCGAAACCAAAATGATGGATAAGGATAATCACTACTTGTTATGCAAAACCCTATTCTCTATCTTTAATTATTTTCAAAACCTAACAATTAATCTATTTACAAGCTACCCTTAATTTGTATTGATTTTATGCTTGTACGACAAGTATTGAAAGTGTCTTTTCAGTTTTGAGTTACATCAAGAACAAATTTAGAAGTCAAATATGCGTTAGTTTATGAATGATTGTCTAGTAGGATATACCGAGACAAATTTGTTGAGCAGTATAGACACCAAATGTATTTTATATTTTTTTAGAATACAAAAATAAATCATGGATATTTTAAACTTGTACGAGTTGGGAATTTTCTTATTTAAGAATTATTTAATTTATTTAATTTTTAATTTAATTTTACTTTATTTTTTCAAAGATGACACACCTATGTAAAATTCCTGAATCCGCCACTGCCTATCCCTCTTGTCGGTGACTAGAAAGTTTCCTCAAGCGGCTGTTGATGGTGGCGGAGAAGAGTTCTTGGACCTTTTGGAGTGCTAGTTAAGAGAGAAGAGAAGAAGATTATGGATTTTGACCGAGGTCGTTTATCTTTTTTTTTTTTTTTTAATTTGTTGCTTTGTTTCATTTTGTTTTCACTGTTCAGTTTTTTCTCCATAAAATTAAATAATTTATTATTTAATGATATGACGATCATGCAAGATTTTTGAGCTTTGTGGATCACCCGATGAGGTTAGTTAGATATTTGCCGATAAGTGGAAGCTTGCATGAAAAAGTGTTCCTTCATTCAAGTTCCAGAATCACTATATAGGAGCGAAATATGACAACCATTTGAGCAGTTTACGAACTGACCAAGGAACCATTCTTCTGATTGAGCTATCCAATCATTCAAAAGTTCTCTATACATTTCATCAGAGGTGAACTTGTGAAAAAACGCGAAAGTTCCCGATACAAATGCTCGCCTTCAAACGGTTTGGAAATATATCCATCCATCCCACATCGAATGCATTCATCTTGTGTAGCTTGGATGACATCAGCTGTCATTGCCAATATAGGTACATGCCAATTTGAGATATTTCTACATGCTTCAATTGATGCGTCTCCATTCTGAATTCGGTCATTGATGTTATCTTCCATTTCCCTAATTCTTCTTGTAGCTTCAAAGCTGCATGTAAAATAAAATCAACAAAGACCAAGAAAGGAGGCAGTATAAACATATTAAAGGAAAGACCCACTTACCCATCTATTGCAGGCATTTGGATGTCCATGAAGCAGGCATCAAATGTGTGAGGAGGCTCGAGAAAAGAGATTGCCTTCTCGCCACTCTCAGCCAAGACCACATCAGCTCCATATCTTTTCAAGGCACCAGCAGCTACCTTAAGGTTCACATAATTGTCATCCACAACAAGAATCTTCCTTCCAGCAAGTAATCCCGAAAGAGACAAACTAGAGAGCTTCCGAAGATTCCCCTTGTTCCCCACACCTATGGCTCTTTGCAAAGACGCAGCCAACATACTTGACCTCAGTGGTTTCATGATTATACTCAACCCATGAAGCTCAAGCATGTCTCTTTTTTTGGAATGGTTAACAGAGTTTGCTAGGATGAATAGCTTTGAACTAAGTTGCTGGTCAAGTTTTCTTAATTTGTTGACAAAGAGAGAAGAAACTGCTGAATCCGCATCCCAAACAACTTGTTCAACTAGGACCATGCTGAAAATCGCATTCCCGATACTTATAGTAGACAAAGCATGGTCTAAAGAAGGAACTACTTCTACTTGAATTCCAAGCCTTTGCACATGGTATTTAGAGACAATGGCTCTAACTTGCCTAGAATCAACGACTAAGGCTCTCATGCATTGAAACTCTGGGTAGATAATCTTAGATTGTTTCGAGCAACCAATTGTAAAACTCGCGGTAAATGTGAAGGTGGAACCAACCTTTGGTATGCTCACAAACCCAAGTTCTCCATCCATTAGGGTCACCAAACATTTGCTTATGCTAAGGCCAATTCCGGTTCCTGCTTGTTTCCTAGAGATGGATGAACCAACTTGAACAAAAGGAGTAAAGATGCGAGGTTGAGCTTCTTGAGGAATACCTTCTCCTGTATCCTCCACCGACACAATCACACTGATACGGTCGGGAGAGAGAGAGCAATTGCGTCCATCTTGACCAATATTTTTGAATCCTGCCCAACTACGGCGTTTATCTGGTACAGGAAACCCGCTCAGTGTGTTTCTTGATGATGCTTCTCTTTCAATGTCTGTGGTTTCCATCACTTCCTCAACAAGATGGACAGTAACAAAAATGTGTCCTTTCTCAGTGAACTGGTAACAAAACAAAATAAACCATCGTTATAAGTAATCAACTCAAGGTAAAAAATATGTTAGATCAGTTGCCAAAACTAATGGGATTCATTATCCTTAACTCAATTGAGAAGTGGTTAGCCTGTTATATAGTCAGTTTTTTAGGCAACGTTATATAGTTAGTTATTAGAAGTGGTTACATTTAGCTATTAGAAGTGGACAACATAAAAAGGACATTAGCTCCTTCATTAATAATGTAATGCATTTTTGCTGAACAATAAGAAGCTTTCCTTTCTCTATGCCTCTTTCACAATGAATCTCACATATCAGATACCAATAGACATATCAGAACGAAATAAAGAAGAATAAAGTGACTAATTTTGGGACTTACTTTAATTGAGTTTCCCATGAGATTGGTGATGATTTGTCGGAACCTTCCCGGATCACCGATGAGCATATCAGGAACACGGTGAGAGATATAGACTGCCAGCTGTTACAAGAAAAAAGTTCAAAAGGTTGGAAATCGAAGCTGAAATTGATGTGGGCGTTTGAAATTGAAAGAGGAACTATGATTATTCATAAGGCTACCTCAACCCCATTCTCCTGAGACTTCCCAGAGAAGAGAGACAAAACATCGTCCATAATGGCTCTAAGGTCAAACGGTACGGATTCAAGATCAAGCTTCCCAGACTCTATCTTTGCTTGGTCCAACACCTCATTCAGAAGTGAGACAAGAGTTTTTCCACTAGCTTGTGCGGTTCGGACATGGTCTTGTTGCGTCACATCAAGATCAGTGTCTAGAAGGATATCTAATATTCCTGAAAAAGTAAACCGAGCTCAAAGTATAAAATCCCAAAGAACTTGATATCAAGTATTAAACCGAGCTCAAGCATAATGGTAGAAAGGAATAAGAACTCTTCGACCTTACCTAATACACCATGCATTGGGGTCCTAATCTCGTGAGAAACAGTAGAAAGAAACTGAAACCACAGGTGGGCAGGTCAAGAAACAAGCCTAACTGGTCAAAGCAAAAAAATAACTTCAACTATTGAAACAAGAATTGACGTACCTGAGACTTTGCAACATCAGCAGCCTCAGCCTTTTTCTTTAACTCAACCATCCGATTGTATTCCTCCTGTACTTTGGCCATATGGTTCATGGTTGCAAAGACTATGTATCCGAGAAGCAAAGTAATCACAAGAGTAGAACCTGTAGTCGTTATTGCAAGCCACGACAATGGAGCTTTGTGCTTGAATCTGGGTTCAAAAAGAAAAAAAACAATAGCTAACGACAACCAATTTTTTTTATAAATGATATTTTATTATTTATTACTTATAACAAAACTGAAAGGAATAAAGAACCACATGCGCCTGTTTGAACAAACAAGAACACACAGAGCAATAATAACACGATAGAAGGAAGGAAAAACACAAGCATCCTATAGTCCGAACTTAAATGGAAGGAGCAGGTAACTTAGGTGCCTCCAACATAAATCCCTGCCAAATGCATTCTTACCAATCCCAAACTGTAATAACCCAACAGGCAAGAAAGTGGAAAAGAAAGGACAGCTCACAATGTCAACCCAAAGTAGGACACACCATACAGACCACCTGGATACTCAAGCCATAAAGAGCTCTTGCTGCCTATGGCTGTAAGCACTAACATAACAAACCTAGAAAGACAGGGATAACAGCGACCTCAAAGAACTCCGACAGAAACAGCAACAAAGACCATGCATTCTCACCAAGACAACCCGGCATCAGCAGTCGCATTCCAGACTCATATACGGACAGCAGCAACCACTAGTCATTCAGCCTCTAAAACGACAACCAAATTTAAATGCGTACTTACTGAAAACATAGATTTCAGCTGTTGAATTACCTGCAACGCATTTCATGGTTTCGAAGGGGGTCACCGAAGTTAAGAGCAATCACGTGCTCCAATTTGTCCACATATACTTCGGAGCCATACATACTGATTGGCTGAGAACGATTAGTTGTGTCATATAGGTTAACCAGGATGGTTTTTTTGCCTGCAAACTGTTGAAATAAGTTCTCTGCGAGTGACTCGATGTCGAAGATACCTTCCAAATACCTAAAAAAGCATAATCCATGAAGTTGTGAGACCAAACAAGCCGTAGCCTCTTATCATTGCACACACTAATGCCAAAAATAATATATACCCATCAGTAGCTTCCACCCTGTCCTTTGGAGTTGCATCTGCAGGGAGATCCCTTTTATAGACAGCAAATGTCAAAATTACACCAAGGCGATTGGTTTTCAATAACCTAAAAGGAGTAGTTAGTACCCCTTTCCCGGATTCTCTTGCTCGTATCGCATTGTCACAATCTTCCTACAAGTTCCACAAATGGCTAATTGAGGCTTACTAATGAAAAATCCAAACTTGTTCCTAATTACCACATCTCGAATAAATTAAAATAAAAACATACATGAAAACATATAGTTAAAGCTTACTTTCCCGGACAGCAGATCAAGAGAAACCATATGAGCAACAGTATCTTGAGCCAAGATCACTGGAGCATATTCCTCTTGGACTGGAGATGGCTCAAACTTCTCTGGCATGTGAATGTCCTTATGAACTGGATTTTGTTGAACGGTGTTCATCTTCTTATGGACCAACCTTGTTGCCTCTCGAACTTCTCCCTTTCCAAGTGAAGGACCCTTATAGCATATGCCACACCACTCATTAATGGCCTCTCAAAAGCTGTTTTTTCTGTGTACTTGGCAAAGGTTCTCTACACAAACAGTGCACTAATAAGTTAAAATCTCGAATCTCAAACTCAAACTCAAGCAACCAGAAATAATAGAGAAAAGCTAATCTACAAGGGAACTCTACAAACCTGATCAATAGCCAAAGGATTCTTGCCATGGTGAAAGGTGGAGATCAAGATGGATATGGCTTGAACATGGGTCATACTCGCATTGAATTGATCCTGCAACATTCTAGCTCTTTCAACACACATACTAGCAAAGTGTCACTTTTCTCTTCTCGATTGCATGGTGGTTGTAGAAAGAAAACATCCATGCACAAATCACTATCCAAAAAATTACCCAAGACCATAAAAGTTTTTTCCAGAACGATTTATGCACTCTTTTCAACTCAAGTAGCTGGTAAAAATGATGGTGGATCTTGTAACTATTTGCCAAGACCTTCTCCAACAGTTTCAGCCACATTTTTTTTTTTAATGGTGATATAGATTACATTTAAAGAAACAAACTAAGAGTTTAAACAGAGCAATCAGGGCCAGCAGCAGCAAAATAAGAAAATATAAGGAAATAAGCCGTCCAGCTGGAACTATGGAATCCCCAAGTTAAAATTAAACTTCGAGTAAGTAAAAGAAGGGGAGCAAAGGAGTTCAAAACTGGGAAGAAACAAGAAGGTAGGACAAGTCTGGAAGGCACTAAAAGCCCACTGAAACAGGGGGAAAAAACGAGAGGAAAATACAATGAAGGAAAAGCAGCAATATGATGACAAGATATATAAGTTAGCAGCTCACAGACAGCCACAAGTAAGAGTGAAATGAAACAGTCCCTCAATTATTAATACCCTAGATTTTGGGGCCCGTGCTAACTAATGCATGAATCTTTCTATTAATGGGCTAGATTTTCTGTCGTGGAGAGGTTGAACTTCAGGGGAGAAGGGATGGGACAGTTTGTAACCTAACACTACAGAGATCAAAGCATGCTTTCATCACAAAATCTAGAAAAGACCACAACGACAGTAGGGAACATATTAACGAATTTAGATGTTAAATGATAAAACCTAACTCCAACCCCCTAATTGACTGTGTATGCCACTTATGCAGGTGTGATAAATGAACTAAGATAATCAGCCTGGAGGCAACACACCTAAAACCCATTCACTACGTGAGCATTCGTTCAATTCAACTAGATACGGACAGAGCACAGCTTCTTACTTAAAACTCTAATAAACTCCACTAAGCAGTCCGTATCAGTCCTTGAGAACTAGCAGTCGAAGTTCTCACCAACATCAAAACAAGCGCTAATTACAAAGTTTCATTGGCTTATCATCGAAGCAAAAACATCAAAACATGAATCATAGTATAGCTTTCTCCAGGTTGGAATCACCTACTTCAACTGGTTCATAAGCTGAAATTTCTAAACAGATAACGGCAGAGCAGGCGGAGAAGGAATCGGGATATCAATCAGCAGCCAGAAGAGAGTCATAATCCACAGCCCAAGTCTGAAGAAGGAAGAGAAGAATTCACTAATTACCTGATTCGTAGGCGCAAGGGGAAATCTCAGGCCACAGCCGAAAATTCGAAAAACCTCTGAGACAATACAATTCGAGGGCGCAGGTGATGGTTTTTCTCTCCCCTAGCTTCGATCTAAAGAAAGTGAACGGAAGAGAGAGACAGAGGAGAGGAACCAAAATTAGAAACTCGATTGATGGAGGATGCTTGCAAAATAAAGAACGGTAATCTGAAACACGAAAAAAAAAACGAAACGAAGTGCAAGCACTGTGAATGGGAGACAATAGGACAACTGAAAAAGGACGGAGCGGTTACCTCAGGTGGCGGTCTTGGTTTACCCGAGCTCTCCTCGCCAAGAAGAATATCTATCAGGCCCACCAGGCAATCCGCGCTGACGGATGTCTCTGCGCTAGGGATTTGCTTCTGTTTTAGCTCAAAAAGTTGCTAGCTGTCGAAGTTACTCACGTTTTTTTTTTATAGTTTAGAAGTCTGTCTGCAGCTGCAGTTGCGCGCTATGCAGATAAGGGTGAAGCTCAGCAAGATACAGCCAACAGACCACATATCAACAGCTGGACCATACTTTGTTGCCCCAAGAAGCAACTCTGGAGGTCTGTACCATAAAGTAATAACACGGTTTGTAAGATTTGCATTATGATCATTCGAAAATGACCTAGCAAGCCCAAAATCAGCAAGCTTTAGGTTCCCCTCAGGTCTATGAGAAGATTAGAACCTTTGATATCACGATGAAGTACTTGATTAACATGGCAATAGTGAAGCCCAGTTAAGAGCTGCCTCATGTAGCACTTAATTTGAGGAACAGTTATGAAAATTAATAAAGGGCATAATAGAAGACAGTAAAAGAATGCCAAATAGAGAGGCAGATCCTAGACTTACTTCTATGATTGCACCCAGTGCCAATCCCATAGATGAGGAATTCGATTATCCAGACCTTTCTGAATTTCATCATCTAAAATTCATGTGAATCGTGGTAAGTCCATAAATCTGCATGAAAACAAAAGTAGAACAGCTCAAAGACAACAAACCGCTGCCGCTAAGTCAACTCTCATGCGCCGGCTAGTCTGTGATGAGATGAGACTAGACTAAGAAACCGACCAAAATGGAATGGGGCTTCTTTCTATTCGAGCTATCTGCTAAACTGCTCAGATTTTTATATCCACTTTCTTATTTCACTTTATATGCAAATTCATGTGAATAATCACATTTCTAGCAAATTGTGTTGATTCTAGAAGATTGAGTCAAGCCAAAATACCAATTTGTTACAACATTCTCTGATCAAGGAGTATGCATTTCTGCATCCTCACCTCCACTTAGCACACTTCACCATACCGCCTTGTGTCCAATAGCCCAACTCCATAACCAGGTGGACTAAAAATCAAGACCAACACACTATCTGCATACATTTAAACCAATACATCTTCAATTAGAAATGACAATGAAGGAGGGAAGCTTTTAGAAGAGGCATTCAGTAGCTATGTGCAGACATAACACATGTATTTCCGTATTCTGATCAGACCTAAAGCTGTACACCTCTTCATCCCCCAATGGCTTGAATCCTACGAGGACATTCAATTTGAGTTCACATAAACAAATTAATGAAACTGCAGAAAGAGAATGAAGCTGAGTCCTCGCATAGGGAAAGTATAGAAGGAAAATGGTGTCCCTTACCAGGCTTACCCCCGGATAATATGTTGCTTCCAACAGGCTCCGCACCAATTATTCAATGCACTCCAATTGATAACAGGAACATTTAAGAAAACATTCAGCTAATTTTTTTATCACACAATTCGAGTGAATCAACATTGTCATTTCAAATGGAAACTAAGTACAACTCAATGTTCATCGGAAAAATGAAAAGTCAAATTGAAAAGTAAAACTTCCAAAGTCTATGCTTCATCTTCCGACATGACACTCGTTGTAGCAGCGACACCAGGATCTACATACTCAAATGCTACAGGACGTAAATCATTACGAACCCAATTTTCATCTTCACTAGCTGGACCAGCGTTTTCCACCGAGAGTGATTGATCCGCATTTTTCGATTGATAAACTAATTCATCACCTAATTCATATGTGTCTCTAGGCTTTGTTCGAAGTGCCACATACCAATCAGGTTCCTGTGAATCTTTAATGTAAAATACAGGCCTAACTTGATCTGCAAAGACAAAAGGCTCATCACGTATATTAGACCCTGTGTGAATCAATCTTGAAAAATTCACCATAGTATATCCGTATGCATCTTTTTTCAACCCTCTTCCACGTTCCACGTCAACCCATTCACACTTAAATAGAGCTACTCTGAACCTTTCGAAGTAGTTCAACTCAATCATGTCAATTATCCGTCCATAATATAAAATTTCACCTTCTAAACTTGAGGTCTTTGTTGCTACAACAACGCCACTGTTTTGAGTTTTTCTTTCCTCTTCACGACAGTTTGCATGATATCTGACTCCCTTGGTGATGTAACCTTTAAATTGTCTAACCCCATAGTTCGGACCTCGGGCTAGCCCTTTCAGTTCAGCAGTAAATCGCGGATCATGCATCTCCTCTAGCCTAGCTACCTATATACTCACAGCAAAAAAAGGGAAATCAACAGCTACTAATTATGTTGGTATATCGAAAGGAATGTCAAACCTAATTGACGACATCGTATTACAGCGTACATGATAGAAGAAAAGCGAAAATAAAAATTATGTAACTTTTTTATTTAGGCAATGCTATATCTAGCTAAGTTCATAAGGACACAATTAAACGAAAGAAGGCACTCACCCGTCCTTTGAACCAATCAACAAAGGTGGAATGGTGGACTTTCTCAATTTCAATTAGACGAGAAGCATTATTTCTACGATTTCTGCTTGAAAGTTTCCTTTTAATCTCATCCTTATGCTCTCTGTCAATCCGATAAGCAAATATTATAATGAATTTCTAGTTAGTAATAAAAGGAAATTAAGACTAGCTTATAGGAGAAAAAGAGAACATACTCTATGTATGGGAGAACTTCCTTTGAGTTGTATAGCACATATCGGTGAGCCTGAACCCAAGAAGTAGGATCAAGGATAATATTTTCTACTTTTCCAATGGGATGACCCGAAGTAGTGTTCACAGGGGAATCTTCCGTTCTCAATAGATCCATGTCATCACTATTTCTTGCAGGTTTATTAAATCTTGTTCTGACTCCTTCAAAGTATCTAGAGCAAAATGTAATTGCTTCATTTGCAATGTACCATTGAGCAATTGAGGCTTCAGGATAAGCCTTGTTCCCAACATGAGCTTTGAGTGTCATCAAGTACCTATATTGAAAATACATTTTTCATAAGCAAATAATATATTTCATAGCTTAAAGAGTAGATGGAGTCCAAACATTTCAATGGAAAATCTCAGCTATGATAAGGGCTAGAATGCCAAAACAGAAACAGTAAACTGAAATTAAAACAACCCACCCAATTTCTTGATAAGAATTATCTTCAATGAGAATTTAACCACATAAAATCTAAGAGCATATATATATATATGTGTGTGTGTTGGTGATTAAAACTCAAAAGTTAATATCAAAGTACGTAAATTAAATGTGTACCTCTCTATTGGATACATCCATCGATATTGCACGGGTCCATTCCATTTGGCCTCTTCTACAAGATGTACGACCAAGTGGACCATGATAGTAAAAAATGATGGAGGAAATATCATCTCCATACGAGCCAATATTTCTCCAATCTCTACTTCCATCTCCTCAAGACGACTTACTTTAAGAACTTTAGAACTTAGTTCTCTAAAATAAGCACTCAAATCAATTAAGGCTCTAGCTACTCTATCTTTCAGACATCCCCTCACTGCTACTGGTAACAAATCATGTAGTAATACATGACAATCATGACTTTTCAAACCACTTATCTTCTTGTGTTTCACATCTACACAACGAGATATGTTGGAAGAATATCCATCAGGTACCTTCACATGTTTTAGCACACGAAGCATTTGTTTTTTCTCTGTCGAAGACATCTCAAAAAGAGCGGGGGCTGCTTCGTATTTCCCAGTAGGCAACTTAAATGGGTGAAGAGTGCGTCTTATACCCATTTCCTGCATATCAAAGCGAGCCTTCAAGTTATCCTTGGTTTTCCCTCGAACACTTAACAATGTGTCTAAAATGTTATCACATACATTCTTTTCAATGTGCATGACATCAAGGTTATGTCTAACTCGATTGTACTCCCAATAAGGAAGACGAAAAAATATGCTTTTCTTGTTGCACCCCTCCGTGATGTTTATGTTTGTACCATTTAGATCCCTTGTTGATCCATTAGAATCCCATAAATCACGAATGCAAGATCCGGTCATCCGAACAGGTGGTCCTCTCAACTCTTCAGTGCCATCAAAACATTTCTTATTTCTTCTCCATGAATGATCATAGCTTAAAAACCGACGATGCCCCAAAAAACAATATTTGTTACCATGCGTTAACCATTTTGACCAAGTATTGAAGCCACAGCATGGACATCCATAGCCTTTTTTCGTTCTCCAACCTGATAACATGCTATAAGCCGGAAAGTCATTTATAGTCCATAGCAACGATGCATGCAACTTGAAAGTAGTCTTCGCGTGAGCATCATATGTATCAACTCCTTTTTCCCATAAATGAATCAGCTCTTCAATAAAGGGCTCCAAGTAGATGTCTATCTTAGCTCCGGGTGATTTAGGTCCAGGAATGAGTAAGCACAAGAACAAAGAAGACTGTTTCATGCATAACCAGGGCGGCAAATTGTAGGCAGTTACAACCACTGGCCAACTGCTATGAGTGCTACTTAATGACCTAAAAGGGTTAAACCCATCAGTGGCCAGTCCTAGTCGAACATTGCGCGGCTCCTTAGCAAAGTCAGCATATCGACTATCAAAATCTTTCCATGCACGAGCATCCGCAGGGTGTCTCAAGTACCCATCGTCCCTGCGTTCATCAAAGTGCCACCTCATTAAAGAAGCCGTCTTTTTGCACATGAATAACCTTTGAAGTCTTGGAATCAGAGGAAACCAACGGAGTACTTTCACTCCCTTTCGAATCTTGTTTCTTTTTGAAGTCGATGAACTTTCAGTCTCTTCCTTGTATCTGTATGCATTACAGTGTAAGCATCTAGGCTCATCAATATGTTCTTTCCAGAACAGCATACAATCATTTGGACATGCATCGATTGTTTGGTAATCAAGACCCAATGCATCAATTAACTTTCTGACTTCGTAAGATGACTCTGGAAGTTTTTCCCCTTCAGGCAACGTCTCCCTCATTGTGGTCAGTAAGTCCTCAAAAGACTTATCACTCCATCCATACATACACTTCTTGTTGTATAACTCAAGGATAAATGAGAGTTTGCTATGCTTACGACATCCACTAAAAAGTTCCTCGTCAGATTCTTCCAATAAATCATGGAACCTTTTGGCATATTCATATGCCTCAGTTGGTTGGGTGCCATCATCAATAGTGGAGCTATCACCCCAATCATTTTCTACCCTGGATCTTGAATTTTCAATCTCATCATAACCAACAGCCATATCCTCAAGAAACTGTTGAACGCCGTGTTGCTCTTGTGCATCAACTTCTCTTAGTCCATCATCATTTTGGTGGGAATAACTAGAATCACTAGTTTGAGAGGTTGGATCTCGGTGGAAAATCCAATCTGTATACCCCGGCGAGAACCCATTTTCCAGTATATGAGAAGAAACAACACCTGGTGAGAACCGCTGCATGTTCACACACTTTTGACAAGGACAAGCAAATCTTCCATCTCTCGCGGAAGCTTTGGCAAAAAGAATAAAATTATAAAGCCCTTTCAAAAACTTCTCACTCAATCTATTAGGCTCATGTATCCAACTTCTATCCATTGTTCTCACAGGCCTACAAATTTAGAATCATGTTCGCAAGTCAAAAACTGGAATCTCAATGACCTAATAATAATAATAATGTATAAAAAGTGCAGCATTGATAGCTATATTATACGGAGCAATTGCGGTGCATGAAAACTTTACAACACATATGAGAGATGCCACTGCCACAAGCCTAAACTACACACAACCTATCCATTGCATAATATATATATATATATATATATATATATATATATATATATATATATATATATATATATATATATATATATATATATATATATATATATATATGTTGAAGATTCAAATGCAAATATGTAGCGTTCCTCTTTGGACTTCAGGGCTGGACAGTTCTGTAACCTAGCACTAGAGTGCAGAGATCAAAGCATGCATTGCATTCATCACAAGGTCCAGAAAAGGTCACACTGACTGTAGGGAATAGATTCACGAAATTAGATGCTAAATGATAAAACTCATTCCCCTACTTGACAGTATATGCATCTATACATGCAGGTTGGATAGATGACCTAATTAAGGCAATCAATTCACTGGAGATACTTGAGCTAAGAATCTAAGGGTTACCTTGTACTGGGATCTTCAAGTTCCTTCTTTATCTCCTCTAAGAAGCTGACTTGTGTGGTAAGGGTTACAACTGTTAATTAGTGCGAGGATAAGTCAGCAACTTCATACCTATGAGGTAGAAGTGAAGTGATGATAAAATAAGACGAGGATGTACCATACATATATACCTTGGACTTACATAGAAGATGTTGAGGCAATAATTAATGAGATCCCTGAACACAAATCCAAGCAAATCAATAAGAAGCTTAAGATGAAGTTTATGCACTCCGTATATAAGCGGGGACAACTTCCAGATACCATCTCCACTTTCTCCCAAGGAAATGACTACTGCAAAAGAAACTCTGCCCCATGTAATAATCAAAGACAGCACACACAATCGAAATTATCAAGCATGTCTTCCACTCTCTCTAATGGCTTCCATCGCTTCTTTAGATCTCGACAATCTTCAGCACTTGATTTCACCAAGACATGCAACCCATCCATATAAACAATCAATTTTCTGGGACCCGAGAGATACAGCAAAAGCATTAATCAGTTCGTACATCCAATCTGTAATTGACAGAATCCCCAGTTCATTTAATTGGTCCAAAACCTTCCTCTATCTTATATTCTTATTCGATAAGTCCACATTCTTCTCCTCAAGCACGTCAAATCCCAAAGGCTAGACTCAGCTCTCAACGGAGAAAGAAAATATATCTAGTATTGATCATCAACCAAACAGGGAACTGGGAACAGGTTTTGATCATTCAACTTTCACTAGCAAGCAAAACTTAGGAACTGCGTTATCAGAAGAGAAACAATGGGTGGATGTTATGGTTCGGAGAAGCGATATCCACTAACTTACTAGATGTTTACCTTTCTTGGCAGGAGGCTTGCAACAACAAAGAGCGGTATCCTGATACACCAGAAATCAAAACGGATAATGAGATTAGCGGAACGCGTTGTCAATAGAAGACGAAAGAACAAGGAGGGAGCGGCTCTAGAGCTCTACCCCCAGTAGCGGGCTCTATTCTCCAGAGCTCTCCTTCGCCGCCAAGAAAAATATCGCTCACGCCCGCTGCTCCATCCGTATCGTCTCTGGCAGATCTATAGCTTCCAAATACACAGGGATTTGCTTCTCTTCTCGCTCAAAAAGTCACTCTTGATTGATTTCTCTTTCTTTTTCTGTTTTAGTTTAGGTGATTTCTCCCGCTCCAGTTACGTTGCTCTATGCGGATAAGGGAGGTGAAGCGCCAATCAAAGTGCAGAAAAGAAATTAAGAGACCCACAAGGTTTCCCGCCGGTTTCTTTCTTTCCTATTTGAGTATTTTCCAATGTTGCGATTCCGCCATTCCGGGCCGGATTCAGTTACCCGCAAGGGCCGCAAGTCCGCAACGCCAATAAATTATCTCTATCTTCTCTTCTCTCTATCTTTCTCTAAATCTTATCTTATCTCTTACAATAAGCGTTTTCAGAAAAAGCCTCATGCCACGTAGGCTTTCAAGTTCTCCCCGCGTTTCTCGCTTCCGTCCTTTTATTTTTTTAATTTTCCGTCAGTTTTGGTTGTTTCTACGGTTAGATATACATTTCCTTCCTGTTTTTTTTGTTTTTTGTTTTTGCAATATTCCTTCCAATTTTTCATTGTGCCATATTTATCCTTTTATTTTCTTTCCGTTCAGGTTTTGTATTTTCTTCATATATAATGTTGCTTAATTTTTTCAAGCCGTTCAATAATTCCTTCAGTTTTTTTATGTCTGTAAAATAATTCATTATCAGATGCTTATACTATACTTTCTAGGTCACGTAGTGTAAAAGTTTAAACTAGTTAATCAACATTTTTAAAATATATTATTAAAAAGACACAATTTTTATATCAACTACTAAATGGAAACATATTTTAGATTCATCCTAATTTTATGGTGTTATTTCTTAAAATAATAGAATTAAAGGTCTTGTTTATTGATAATTTTTCTATATAACAATAATCATTGATTAATATATATTGATCATATAATTCAGAATACAAGAGTTGTTTTTAATCTAAACATATAATTATATTTTTCTTAAGAAAAACATACAATTAGATTCACCCAAATTTTATGGTTATATTGCATACGGGTTAAGGGTTTTAATTATTGAAAGTTTGTTTATAGATCAAGAACCATTTATCAATGTAAGTGTGACTTAGAGAATCCAACCATCATTAGTGGGATGCTAATAAAATTTGATGAAGTGATTTAGTGTGAGAACGTTAGAGCATCCAACCATCATTAGTGGGTTAATGGTTTTAATAACAGTTGAGTTATTTTTAATATGGATATGTGATATATTTGGTTAAGAGTCAAAATTTGACTAAGAGTTGAATATATTCTTTACGTAAGTGACTATAGATTATTTTTTTATAACTATATTATTAACTATGCTCGAGTGTGTGGTTGATAAATTAGTCTAGCCTACACTTAATCACCTTTTCATGAATCTGCATTAAAGTTAGATACAAGAAATAAGAATTATTTTGTAAACATATTTAACAATATATAAATTATTTTGGAATTTCCAGTAGATACGAATATAAAAATATGCATATTATAATGAATGATAAAACAAACATATCCCGGCCAACCGGTCGGGTTCAAAGCTAGTACTATAAAGGGTTTTCTCCCAAAACTCTTCACCGCATCTTGCGGAATTTCCTTTTCTTTTTTCTTTTTCGGCATTTGCAAACAGCAGCGGCCAATTTTTATATATTTTATTATTTTCTTTTACATGCTTTATTTTATTTGGTAAGTACATGCTTTATTTGTTAAAAGACACGTGTTTGTCCAATTTGCATGTTCTCGAGTATTTTCTCATTGTATTTTGTTTGGCCGATTAAAATTAATAATTGTGAAATTGTATCGGAGGTTATACACAAATAAGTCAGTAATTTTCTTAAACAAAATGACAGTAATAAGATATTTTGTATAAAAATTATGGTTTGACTGTGATTCAATTGTTGTTTTATACCGTTTTAAACCACCTATCATTTAGAAACTGATATTCAATATTTTCGCTCCAACCGGGTAGTGCGGTGGGTTTCTAAAACATTGATGAAAATACACTCGGTACTATTTTTTCAAGAATTCTTAGTTGAACCTTAGCTCAAATTTCGCACTTTATATGATTATAAAAAAAATAAAAATATCACACTTTATAAACTGATCTATATTGTCTGGAAGATGATTTTTCAGTGTGTTTATTTCATGAATCTTCGCGTACATACAATGCATCGAGACTTTATATTATCACAATTTCAACATGAGCATTTTTTTGGTAAAACTTCATTGTGGGTATGAGTCAAACTTAGATAATAGAGGAACTATCATGAGATTGATGCCCAATATTGAAATTTTTTAACAATAGTATGTTATAAATTTTGCCAAAACTTAATTTATTTTATTGCAAGTTTAATGTCTTCACTTTGAAACGTGTATTTCATACGTCAATAACTAAACATTATTAAAAAATTATTGAGTGTATAATTGATAAATTGCCTGATACATACAAGTTATTATAAAACAAATGTGATCTCATTAGTTTAATTTTTGTTTTTTAGTTTATGGTAAGGATTCATTTTTCAGTAAGGACTCTTTTAATTATATAATGAGTAAATTTTTTCATGTAGCGGATAGTGCTTTTCAGTTATAAAAAAAATGAAACATGTTAGCATTGGAATATTTATTACTTTTTTTTTGGTAATTAACTCCTTCATAGTAAAAAGAACATGGTATTTTTTTCATCTTAAATAATAGTAAATCTAATAGACTTAAAAAGGTGGCTTGGGCAATTATAATGATTAAAAGTATTAGTTTTCTTCACTTTGACAAATTATTTTTTAGTTCATTTGTCTTTTGCGATAATACGAACAAAACAATTTTCAACGCATGAACAGCGCTGGCCAATTCTGTAGTTAGTATTAACTAATAAGTAAAGAAAATGATATTTCTGGATTTGGGTTAATGGTTTCGACAAAAGTTAATACAAAAATGAGGACGGAAAATGGATAAGTAAACAAATAAAAGACTTTAATTTGAGAAATCAAACGGTGCATGACTCGATGATCAATAATATAATATAATGGGTAATTATAAATACAGTTGGCTAGTTGACTGCAAAGTGGATAGGATAGGTGAAATTAAGATGAATTTAGATTAAATAAATGTATGGGACAAGCGAGCAGCGAGACGAGTCGACTGACGGAGTGGCCGACTTGTGGATGGTTGTGGTCCATCAATGAGCAGCAGCTTCATAACCATAACCACCCGTGCCGTGAGGCACCATCAACTAAGCCACGATAACAGAAGAGGTGGAATTAATCCTTGGCGCTTTTCCCAAGAAACGCCTCAATGACTTCCTGGAGTAATCCGGAGCCAGATGTATCATCATCGGCCCAATCAACTCCAAACGGGGGAGGAGATGGGGCAGTAGGGATCCAATTTGGCGTGAAAGATGGGGTTTCCAAGTCCGCGGTATCGGCGGCTGAGACTGAGAGAGAGGTTTCCTCGGCCCAATCAACTCCAACTGGGGGAGGAGATGGTGCATTAATAGGGATCCAATTTGGCGTCAGAGATGGGGTTTCCAAGTCCAGGGTATCGGCGCCAAAGAGAGCGGTTTCCAAGTCCCAATCAACTCCAACTGGGGGAGGAGATGGTGCAATAATAGGGATCCAATTTGGCGTCAGAGATGGGGTTTCCAAGTCCACAGTATCGGCGCCAGAGAGAGCGGTTTCCTCGGCCCAAGAAACTCCAACCGGGGGAGGAGATGGGGCAGTAGGGATCCAGTTTGGCGTCAAAGATGGGACTGGGGTGGCGGAGTGCTGATCGATGGGTTGCTGGCGCTGCCTTGGGTTCCCGACGGAGAAGATATGTTTATACTTTTGGTGGTTACGACGGCACTTGGGCTGAGGACGTGAGGAAGGGATGAAATAATCATGGGCCGGTGGATGGAAGGATCGACAGAGGATGTTGGTTTTGGCCTTACAACCCTGCATGTATATAGCAGCTCGGTCATAAGCACAAGCCGCTTCTTCGGGAGTGTCGAAGGTGCCAAGCCAAAACCTGCGCTTGGCAATTGGATCTCTTATCTCAGCCGCGTAAGTGCCCCATGGCCTCCTCCTCACGCCACGGTACCCCGCTCTCCCATGCTTTCTCCTCAAGAGGGAGCAGTTTTGGTGGATTGGATGAAATGTAGGGTGTTCCATTTCCATGGAAGTATGATCATGTGGTGATTTTTTATCTTGTATCTTTGCCCCCTCGGTTTTATATTATATATATATGCAAAATGAGTCCGACAAGCAGTTAATTAGCTAGCTACTAGCTAGGGAAGGGAAGTGAGCGATTGAAATTTCTGGACTGACGCCGGCTTTTCCTTTCCTTTCCTTTCCGGTGCAGCTGCAGCCCTTTCCAATCAATTTATTGTCTTCAAGACATGAAAGATTCATCATCTGATATTGCCTATTTTTTATATAATAATAAAGACATGAAAAGATCGGCGCCAGTTGCCTTGGCTACCTACATTATATTAGCTACATTATTTTTTTATCTTTCCCTTCCCCCGTTCCCCGCTCGTGTTATTTGCCTGAATCCTTTATTTTCATTTTCGGGGTTCCTGCTTGCTTGTTTTGTCCTCTCCTGCTCGAGGTTTTGATGGCCTGAGCTGCTAGTGTATCTCTTAAATTATCTCTTAAGTGATCCATTAAGGTGATGAATCTTACAGTGATTGTGGTTGCTTCATCTTTTATAGCTGGCTTTATAGTATCATAGGTCGCACTATATAAGATGCAAGTTATGTGGAGTATTACCTAATCAATATAAAAAAAAATAAGTTCATAAAAAAGGATAGAAAATTACGTTAGATAAGTGATAAGTTATTATAAAAGTGTCATTTATTCATTCAAATTATACAAATACAAGATTTTAGTCAAGAAAGAAAACCATTCAGTTTTTTGGGGAAAAAATCATTCACTAATTGATTCTCAAGCTTTATATGGAGATATATAGTTCGTTATAGTTTCAATCCATAAAGTATGTTTATGAATATGATATATGTTGACTTAATATAGATATTGTATCTCGTTTAGCGAGGATCCAAGAGTGAGTCCCTATTGTATCATTTTGCTTTTTTTTTTTTAGAGCTCATATCATTTTGCTTTTTGAATTTTCAATAGAGTTGTATACATAATGACAAAAAACTATGTTAATGATAATTCAATTGCATACAAACTACTGGTAAATCATATCTGAAGCCTCCTTTGATATATACCCACCGCAGTTATTATGGTAAATAATGAAGCCGGGCAGGCATGACTCGAAACAATAAATAGAATGATCAATTAAAAATGCAGTTGGCTAGTTGAGTACCAATGTGGGTGCGTGAAAAGTGAATTCATATCATCAATGGCATAAGTCAACTCTCCTTAAAATTGGAAAGGGAAGACGACGTACAAGCTCCAATCGTATTGCACACTCTTTCAATGGCTTCTTTACTCGCTCTTCCAATTTCCATCTAGTACTATCCTTCCTCCTTCAATGCCCGCCGCCAACATCAACCGTTCCAACCATTTTCCATAATAATATTAGGGAAGTCTCTTGAGTAGTTTGTTAGGTTGTGGAATAGATGAGCATCTTACATGAATTTTGAGGGTTGATCTTTTGGTTATTTGTCTTTGTTTCAGCCCTTGCTTATAGAGTTTGTGAAAGAACACCGCTCTTCCTTGGGGAAGGAGGCTACCCTATTTCGCTAGAATAGCCGTAGGTGGAGAGTGGGATTAGTCCACAAATCTAATAACCAAAGAACCCAATGGCTGTTCTTTACTTTATTAGTTTCTTCTAATTAATAGGCAAGAGATGGGAATTGATACACGGGACAAAAACATTGTGAGCTGTAGCATTTATTGAACCTGAGATCGAGATGGGAATTGATGTGCATGGGCCAAAAACCAAAGAACCCATAGACATGCGCCGCTCACTCAAATAAACTAATATATGCATTAATTGTTGTATATATATATGGGTCCATCATTCATCAGCTAAACCCCACTCTTCCAGTCTTCTGGTTTCTCCAGTGCTATTGTGTTTGTGTACATTCTGTTTTTTCGGTTTTGGTTCATGAAAAAACCAATAAACTTTTTTTAAATTATTTTTAGTGTTTATTGCCTGATTAATTTTTTTTTGGATTTTCATGCTTAACTTGCGATTTAGTTTTATCAAAAAAAAAAAAAAATTGCGATTTAGTTAACTGAAACCAAATTGACGCCCTAGTTATGAATTGAAAAAAAAAACCCCCCACATCAAACCACATTTTTTATAGAGTTTAATTTTGTAGTTCTTCAAGGGAGGCTCAACCAAATACACTGGTTCCTACTCGTATGAAGACCATCGAAGTCATACCATGAAATAGAACACAATGTTCTCTTGCCGACAATGTTATACACATACTTGTAAGTAGGTAAGTAGCTTAGTTATAGACAATTAACGAGATATAATAAAAACAAAACACAAACTCTTTAGTTTAGATGTTATTCTAATCAATACGTTTTTCCTAATCAATGAAAATTGAAGCAAGAGGAACACATACCAAATAATGGAGGACAGGAGAGGACGTAGCGGCCAATAAATTAAACGCTTATTTGGAGGAGCTCATTCATTGCGGATGCCGGATAAGGTGGTGATGATGGTCCATGGTCATCCACGTTGCGGAAGTAATTAAGTAAAATAAAGTAACCACGTAATTTAATCTAACCACGTAATCGAATCAAAATAAGTGATTAATGATTATATTGATAACAAATCAAACAGTAACATGTCGGTTCTCGATAATTAAATAATTGCTTATCGATGATTAATAGGTCAACCGAAAAATTTTAATAAAATGTTGGAAGGACAAGATCTATTGCCTACTCGAGTTGTTATATATACTTTAGATTCAAATGAAATAAATTAAATGAAAGGCTTTATAAGAAGCATAATAGAAAGTTGGACTTGCTCAAAACCGCCTAGCTACTGAATAATTGAAAACTGATGTTCTAGAGTATCTTCCTCTTACGGCAAAAAAATGGGCAAATCGGGATTAAATCTACTCCTCCAATGGCAAAGCTTTCCTAGTTAATTAGGAGGATCTTGTCAAGACATTACTAGATCTCATAACACCAATGTCAAAGACATTGTTTTCCATAAATAATGACCTGCTCGCACACACTTTACACAATGGCCCGCCCCACAACTTTGTTCTCTACTAAATAACGTCATTTCCTAGTACCGTGGTGTGGATAAGCTTCGTGGCGTCAATGAATTCGCAACGGCGTCAACCTCGCAACACAGTCAATCTCGCGATGTCGTTGTGCACCACAACATTGTCATGACCTTGTTATTCTTGCGAATTACGATGTTGTTAACCTTGACATCATTACATATTACAATATTATTGAGCTCACGGCATCGTTAATCCCACGATGTTGCTCCAATGTAGTATTTTTAATAAAAATTTTATTTTAAGTGTAAACACGTAGTGGTTGTGGATGTTTATTATTATGAGGAGTAAGGCTTCAACCATTTGGGCATGTTAGGACGACGCATTGTGTGGAGAGGACCCGCAATTTTCAGGAATTGTGAGGGCCAGAATCGTCTTGACGGAAGGCCTATAAAGGGAAGTAAAGTCGTTGCCGCCTATTCTCCAATCCATAGCCGCCTCTTTTTACCTCTCGTTCTTCCTTCCTCTATAAGGCCATCTTTAGCAGAGGGCCAAAATTCCATAAATTTGGCTCCAACCCACTTTAGTGGGTTCCAAAAATGTATAAAATTGGACTGAGCCAGAATTTGGGTCCAAATTTGGACCACAAGCAGCCAAAAATTCCAAACTGTGCGAGACCACCAGGTTGGGGATGGGCGACGCACCAAAAGGGAGGAGGAGTCAGACGCGCGCTCCATTCATATTATTTCTCGCTCGTGGGAGTCATCCTCATCTCCCCCATGCAGCGCTTCTTCAGTTTTGGCCAAGGGGATTTAGTTTAAAGGGACAAACAAAATGGTGGAAAATAGACAAATAGTGCAGATTGAAGCCATTTAATGAACAAAGGGATTTAGCTTAAGTATGTCATTTTATGAACAAAAATGATGGAGAATATAAATGGTTAATTTTGAATTGATTGAACTAGTTATTGTGGGTTCATTATTGATGATGTAATATTCTACATGAAAAAAATTATGTCGGAATTTAAAAAATTGTATCGAAATGTTCATCGTAATTAATTATTAGTATCTACATAAAGATAATGAACAAATTGTGCAATTAAAATAATGAAATCAACACTAAACGAAATTATGAGCTACTGTCAAATTTTGGAATTTTAGACTTTTGAAACTTCCCACTAATGCTATAAACACTTTTGGAGAGGGTAGATTTGGAATTCTAGCCTCAAATTTTGTATTTTTGGAACCATTCGCTAAAGATGGTCTAATAGAAGGAAGGAACAAAGAAAATAAAGACTGGCCATCCTCCTTCCTTCCTTGAATCTCCCAAGGTCATTAATTCTGGAGTACTTTAATGCATGCCTGCAGATTGAAATGACACTAGACAGTGATCGTGGCGCGAATTCCTGATGAACTCGGCCGCTTCACCAGATCGGGAGATTGAAGTGACCCTACCCTACGGGCTGCATCCGCTACTATTGCTGCTGTCGGCGCCTGAGCTAGGAGGAGGAATCTCCGACGGTCTGATGGCGGAAGACCGATGCAAGGAGGCGAGAAGATGGACGATTGATTGGATTGGAGAAGATAATTATTTTCTTAATCCCATCAACCTACCTACCACTATTACTTTCCCACGCGCCTATCTATTCAGTGTCACTAGCTATCAGATCTCGACCCAACAAATTCGATCTAATCCCATCTCAACTCTCTCTCTCTTTCTCAATCACGTTTTTCTTCTCTACTCTACCTATACAAAGTTATCTTATTTTTTTGATATATACAGAGAGCCAGCCATCGCCTTGTACCAAGAAGAATCATCATTTGTTATAGAAGATGACATCGCCTTCTACAAAAAAAGACGACGCAAACAGCGTCGGCTGCTCCCAAAAAAAATCATTAATCGCTCCTCTTTCCAGCTGCCACCGGCAGCCCCTCCCACTCTTACTCCCTCATCTGCTGTCTGCTTACCCTACTACTACGACTACCAATTCCAAACCGAAACTTTGAACACGGCGGAATCGAGCAGTGCTAGCGATGTGTCGGAGATGGGTTCAATACAACCGTGTCTCGCATGGTTGGAGTGGGCCCAGATTGGTGGTGAGTTAATGGGTTCAACGCAGCCCTGCACTGCATGGCTAGAATGGGCGACGATCTAGGCCGGCGACGGGTTTCCTTTTGTAGTATCCCTTCCCTGCAGGTTTGAAAAAGTAATTGGTTGTGTTGTTTATTTCCCTGGTCTTGGTGACTGGACTGTGCCCATTCTTGGCCTAATTAACAGTTAGTTAGTTAGTTCACAAGCACATATTTATTATGTGGCCGGCCGGCCGGCGGCTCCCTTTTATGTGATTCTGTTTTGCAATTACCATATCTATTTATCTATATGGCCATATTATTTGGATTGGCTCGTGGCAGAGGACCTAATTTACTATAATTTTCCTTCCTCAGCTCGTAGTTGTTTTGCTGTTGCTGGAATTTGGGCTCACGTGGTAGCAGAATGACAGGTTGTTTGGAGTCGGCATCTCCAGTCCTGGGTTATGCCTTGCAGCCTTCAGTGGTGGGGATTATTTCCCTTTGACGTACATTGGTTTTGAGTGTGGTGTGTGAGGGGCTTTTCCAGTTGCTGCAGTCAGTCTGGTGGATTGATTTCATTAGCTACGAATTATTAT